ACGTTATCGCTCTGTGCGTCATCGTATGCCTGAATGTCTGCTCGCCAGGATTGGGTGGTGTGGCCGTTCAACTCTGTGTGCAACGACCGTACAAACAGTGCCCAATCCATTAACCTCTGTTTAACCTAATCCCCCATCCTGATCATGAGTAGCTCCCTGCGTGTACACACTTGATCCGCAATACCCGTACTGAATAAACGTGCTTCGTGCTACACGTCTGTTTCCTTTATAGCTGGGCTATAGCTTAGCTGGTTCTGGGAGTCTAGCTAGATGTAGGAGGATCTGCCATAGAGATTTCTGAGTCAGTAAGGCTTTACTAAGGTCGCAATCCGCTACACATCCGAATCAATAAATGGTCCTCTCATCGTTTTATCTAGTATTAACGTAGTTTCGTATTTTTTATTTATGCTTATGTCTTCCTTCGATTTAAACCGTCGAATTTATTTGAAAGGCATGGGAAATCGGAACATCAGGCAAGAAATGTCCGAAGAAAAGAAAAAATCGGATTGGCGTGAAAATAGCCGATTTTCTATTGGCACAAATTTGCACTACTTAGCCTGATGCCTAAGAAATATAACTACTAAACTCTTGGCTCTGTTAAACTTAAACATTACGAAGAAAACGATTTCAAACAATGTGAAAATTTTCATTTGGTTAACTATTAGAATCGTAGATAAGTTTATTTTTTGAAAGCCTCGTGTTCTACTGGCTAAACTAGCAGTTCTTCAATCGATTTAAACTGAAAAGGCGATAAGGAAGTAGGTGAATTAACAACTTTCTATTCAAAAAATAAAAGTTTTTACTTTCTAACCATCGAAATCATTAACATCTGATGCATGGTAAGACAATTTGTTTAAGATTTTGTAAAAGTTAGTAAATTGTGTACTAATTCGTTCTCATCTATTAGATATGGCACTACAGTTGATTTCAATAATGGAAGACTTTCAAAAAAGAAGTTAGTGTCAAATCTTCGTGTTCAGATAGAAAAGAGCCTGTGTGCGTAAAGCGCAATACGCACAAAGTGAGTAATTGGTGATAATGACGGGGCCCTCTCTCTCAAGAATGTCACACTCATGTAAGGGCTCTTCAATTTTTACGCCCTGCAAAGATAGGCGCGCGCGATCTTCTTAAACTCCATCAACTCACCCTAGGAGCACACACTTTTAACACGCTTCTTCAGTAAACGACCTACTCATACATAGAGACATGGCAGCCGAACCAAATCCGGAGACTCTCGTTCATTTCTACGATGAACTTACGGAAGCTCAAGCTTGTAAGTCTTATTGCTTCCCTTAACGGAAACATTATTACCCGATTTAACTATATCGTAACTAAAATTCTACTTTATTAACGACAGCTATTCCAACAAAGAGTTACATGGAATTCCTCATTAAGTGGGGTTATGATCGTGAAACTGCTGAGGTAAATAATAAAAAAACCTAATCGAACATTTTGATAAAATTCATATGTGACCATTTCTTCTTTTAGCGACTCTGTATCCGATTGGATAAAGGTACTGGAGTTATTCACCGAAAAGACCTCTGCAGGCCTACTGATATCCCTTGCAATTCGTAAGAATCAAACTCTAAAAGAAATAAATCACGCTGGTCCTGATTCATTCAATTTTTTATTTTTATTTCGCTAGGCTACCACTACTTCGTGACGTTCAGATACTCAACTCAGACATGAAACAAAAGCAAGCTGAATCCATAATGCTCTACGTTGTGGAATTAATTAGAAGGAAGAAGTCCAAGAAAGTAAGCTTAATTAAAACCTCTTTTTTGTAAAAAAATCTACTTCACTATAGTTAAAATTATTTCTATTTAAACATCAAGGACCAATTGGAAGACCTGAAGAAACGATTGGAAGAAGTATACGGAAAAGGATGGAACTGTTACATGACAGACGGAAAATTCTACTCCGTCTGCTCTCATGAGGCTGGAACAAGTCTCGTTTTTCTCCTCAATGAAATGGTCTACGGTGTGTTCCGCACACCCTTCACTGGCAAACGCTGAAAATAAAAGGGTTATAATAAAGCCCACTTTCAAATAAACTGAAAAAAATAAAGCTACTATTTTGTACCTTTACATGGTATACATATATATTAATACTGTTAAAATAACTTCATTTGCCTTCTCCCTTATTCAATTGTTCCTGCATAAGCATCTAAATAAAACTTCGGTAACTATTAGTTTCCCTTTTTAAGGAAGCAATGCAACTTATACAGCAACTTAGTAGTCGGATCAAGTTTAATTTATTTTGGTGAGTCTGTCAGAGTGAGAGAAAAGAGCAAATTTTCTCAAGAGCTATTCCAGTTATTATTATCGATTTGACTTGCATAGGCTTAGAAAAAATAAATTCTCACACAAGGCGTCACCACTTGTTTGCCAAGAAGGTTTCAATTGGTTCCGTATAGAACACCACAGTAGTACAAGCATATATGGAATGAAGATAAATTTGATTAGTGATATATGAGCATTAAATGTACGTTATACTTATTTCACCAGGGATTTAACGGTATTTCTAATAAAAAGTTGTAGTCCTATCATTAGTCCAAGACAAAAAAGCTTTTAAAAATTACATTTATATTAACAATTTTAAACGATATTACCACAGTTGGTAATACAAAACTGTGATAATGCATAATTTAACCGGAAAAAGAAATCTAGTACTTAAGGCGCTTTAGTTCGGGTAAGCCGATTACTTCGTGATTTTCAGATGAACCAAGTTGAATAATGCGGACAGTGTTTGTGTGACCCGGTTCACTTCTCCAACCTGTTACTACAACGACACGATCATTATCACCTAACAGACCAATTTGAAGGCCATAATTAATGCCATACTCGATGCGAAGATTCACATCTTCCGACCAGGGATCAGCCCCTTTGCCTAAAATGAAATAAAACCAAGTGCTTTAACTATTTAAATAACTGAGGGAGTCGTTAGCATCCTAGTAATAATTATTTGTGCTATAAAGTTTCAAGCGATTTAAAATTAGTAAATCAATGTAATGAGTTATCAAAGCAATAAAGTTTTCAATAAAATAGGTGTAGACTTGGAGTAAATACCACTTGTAACAATTCATCAAATGCTCGCTTGATAAATCTACTTGACATTTTGCCCTCATAAATGAACGCAATAAAAAAAGTACCTTCATAGAGAATTGGAATACATCCCCAGAAGAGATTAAGTTGCCTTGCAGCAACAGGATCTCGTGTTACACATAAGATTGGGCAACGTGGTCTGTGCCACGAAAGCATCCGACCCGATCTAAATCAAAAAAATTAAATTTTTAAAATGTATTTCATAGTCCGGAAAGTTTAGACTATACTGAATTTGCCTTGATTCAAAAAGGTTAAAGAAATAAATATAAACTACAAGTAAATTCCTTCATGGATAATGAAAATATACATTGATTTTCTTTAATATTTTTTTGTCAAAAATGATTTAAGTTAATATTTCTCGTATAATAACTCCCATGGGAAATGACTCAACTGAGTATGATATATTCGCATAAAAAATGGGGAAATAAATTAGAAGAATGAAGTGATTTAAAATGTTTAGCAACACCAAAACTTAACAATCAATCTCATTAAAATAAAAATAGATTCGTACATAATATTTCCGTAAACGTTAATCACTACGTTAGAACTACCATAAAAGCATTAGTCTAAAAGTTAGTATAAGTTTCTTTGTACAATCTATGTGTTCATATACTAGCGAATTGTCTGACCTAACACTTCCAATGGGTGGTTAATTTGATGTTATATTAAAACCTAAGTTAATAAAGTACAATAACTAAGTAACTTAAAAATTTGAATGTTTGCTGAACAAAATAAAAGAATTTACTCCAACTTTAAATTGCTACTTAGTTTCTTTTAAGTAATAAAGACACATACTCTCCAGTTTTGGTGATGCAAATAATGGCCTTTGCAGCAATACTCAGGGATGCCTCAACTGCTGCAATGGCTGTACTAAGGTTTGTTTCCGTAGGAAGTTTGGCCACTCTTTGAAGACCATTGTAGAGCTGCGTACGAGAACTCACGGACTCTGCCTCTCTGCATATAGCTGACATTGTTCGCACACACTCCACAGGATATTTGCCCTTCGCAGATTCGCCTTAATACATTATGAAAACCAATTATAGAAACTTCGATCTTATACTCAGTGACTTTCGGTTAATTTCAAATAACGAATCGATGGCAAAATTCATGTAAATTTTACCTTTTCAAATCAGTCAAATGTACAAGCAAACACCATCGCTGGTCAATATGAAATGTTTTGTCCAAAAGAAATTAAAGCAAATATGGACACATTTTATTCAGTGTTAGTATTAAATATTTAATAAGTTTACATAATTACCAAATTACACTAAAATTGTGAGTCATTTTTGGACGCAATTTTGGTATAAAGCGTAACACTGAAAGAATTAGCTGTGTGGGACACGTTATCACTGCGTGCGTCATCGTATGCCTGCATGTCTGCTCGCCACGATTGGGAGGTGCGCCGTACAACTTTGTGTGCAGCAATCGTACAAACAGTGACCAATCATCAACCTCTGTTTAACCTAATCCCCCATCCTGATCATGAGTAGCTCCATGTGTGTACACTTGATCCGCAATACCCGTACTGAATAAACGTGCTTCGTGCTACACGTCTGTTTCCTTTATAGCTGGGCTATAGCTTAGCTGGTTCTGGGAGTCTAGCTAGATGTAGGAG